TAATTTTATATATATATGTATATATATATATATATATATATATATAAAATAAATTATTATAAAATTATTATAAAATAAATATATATATATATTTCTTTATTTCTTACTATATACAATTAAAATAAAACAAAAATAAATCTTGTTTTAATAATAGATTATATTATTGTCTTTTTAATTTTTTTATATTTTATATAAATTCATTTTATTTTATATATTTTTATAACAAAGGAATTCAATTGTAATAATAATATTATGCATAGAAACAATCCTTTATTTGCTAATATATTATTATACATCTTGATATTTAAATTTTGTATTTTTTAACAACAATTTTCAAAACACAGTTTATATTTATTTAAAAATCGTGAAAATATTAATTTAAAACATTATTAAATTTATAAATAACAAGAGTGTAAACATTTTTCAAATATGATAATAAATATTTAATTTTTTTTTAGCAATTTCTTAATTTTATTGAAGAATAAATTTTGAATGCTAAAAATAGGATCATATTATTTCTTATTTTTCTTTAATATTTTACATATCTTTAGTTAATTTTTATACATATTCAACTATAACTTTTTTAATAAATTATTATTTATCTTATCAAACTATTAAACTGGTAAAACAAAAACAGATTCATTTCTTTATCATAATTATCCATTTTTAATAACATCATTCAAGGACATTGTATAAATTATTGTATAATTAATGTACAAAACATAAAATAGTCTGTCTTAATACCTCTAAGATGGAGGACATTGCAATCTTATAATTTCATCTCCTTCTGATTGACTATCACTATGATCAGAAGAATCTTCAAGGATATCATCGTCGTCGTCGTCATCATCATCTTGGTTTTGATCACTAGAACCTCGACGTGCGTTTAAATTCTGCATCACAATATAAAATAATTAAAAAAAATTTCTATATTATACTTTTATTCAACTTATATTTATAAATACGTACTCTTACTCTTTCTGTATGACGAATATGTCTTAATAACATCCAAAGCATTCGCCTATCAAATGCATCGGATTCAGTAGTAGTTTCTTGTGCTCTATTCACTGCATTAGCTGTGACACACTAGAAAAAATCGTAAATAAAATAATATTACATATTTATAATAATTTGTATTTTACAATGTTTTCTTTATACATACACTTTCTAATCTTGAAAGCGAAGGCGGGTTTTCACAAGATGGAGCCCATATTTTTACATCACAATCAAGTCCACTTGTGGCAATAATAGGAATATGTGGATGAGGTTCTAAACAATTTACCTATACGACAGAGTGTTATTAAATTTTATTGTTATATTTTTAATAGATTACATACCACTCCTTGCTCATCGCCAGGCATCCAATTTACAATTGCTTCAGAATTCTTCTCCCAAATGAATATATTTCCACAATCTGATCCAGACATAACAAATTCACTCTTTGGTCCAAAAAAATTAACTCCCTTTACTGTAAAATATATAAATAAATATAATATTAAATGCTAATTTTTATTTAATTCTTATTTCATTAAATTTTATCTATAAAATAATAGCCATACAGCTACACATACCAGTAGCATTATTCCTATGACCTTCATATTTATGAGCAAAATCTCCAGTTTGTGGTAACACTGCATCAAATAAATATATATCTTCGTCATTATAAGATGCAAGAACTTCAGTTCCATCATAATTATATAAAGCACAAGTTACATGTACGTATTTATTCGAACGCTGTAATTCATGAAAAGTAAATTATAAATGAATATAATTTTGCTATTAATTATCATTTTATAAAATTCGAAAAACATACCAAATGTTCAGGACATAATTCATGTACAGGTGCAGACACATTTCGTCTATCGTATATTCTAACCGATTGAGAACGACCACCGACACAAAATTCGTTGCTTTTAAGAGGATTACAATGAACACTGTATAATTGCACATGGGAGGAACCATCTTTTACCACTAGCAACCTATGCAATCAAATTATTTTTGTACATTATAAAAAAGTATGTTTCGTGAAAACTATTTGAAAGGCGTACTTCGTTGGTTTTTCTTCTCTAATATCTATAGATAGAACTTTTGCATCTTCACCAACAGACACAATTACATGTGGTGTATCCGGATGAAGTGCAAGTTTATGAGTTGGCGCGTTGTGCGTAGCTAGTTTTCGTGAAACACCACGTCTAATATCTAATAAACGTACTTGTCCATCACGAGCACATGTGGCCATTAAATTTTCTACATCAAATGGTAACCATTTGGTCTGAAAATTAATAATAATATAAATTTATATAATATTGCAAAATAAAGAAATTTTATTTATTTAAAATATATTAATGTATTTTAAACATTAAATACTTGAAACATGTTACTCCTATGACCACTAGCAAAAGAATGATGTTTTTTTCCTATTGCCCAGTCCCATATAACTACAGCTAAATCATCAGAACCACTGGCCAATAAATTTCCTTTTTTATTAAAATTTAAAGAATTAACACAACCCTATAAAAGTGATATAATTATATATTTTAATCTTTTAAATATAAAATTTAAAATATGAATATATACCTCATGTTCTTTAAGTTTATACATAAGTTCAAAATGTTCTACAACATGTAAGGAACCATAATATCTACGTTGAAATGATGGATTGATGCCCATTTCACGATGAAGGAGTTCTGGTACCACAAACCAATTTGGTTTTGGTTTTTTCTTTTTTAAACAAGCAGGAGTATCTGATTCTTCTTCACTAGATGTTTGTTCCGTACCAAAATTTGAATAATTTGATGAAAGAAACTCCTCTAATTGTCTCAATCTCTGTTCTATTATTATTTCTATTAATATTCAGTAATAAAAATAATATACTTTTTCAAACTATGAAATTAATAAACTTAACAATACAAACCTTCATCTTCTTCAGAACGTGTAGCATCACTATCAATTTCTAGCCCCTCTTCATCATTCTTTATTTCTCTAGGAACTGCAGTTGCCTCAGTTTCTACATTTAAATACAATGTAGTACGAAAATCTTTTAAAAATTTTACATATCTCTTTTTTACCAATTACCTGGTCTCATTTCAACATCTTCAGTAGTTCTTTCACTACAATTATCCTTAGATTCCCTTATTAATTGTGTATTATCTACACTTTTATTTTCAAATTTTGATTTATTACACATATTTTCATTTAATTTTTGATGTTTACTTGATTCCTCATTAGAACTATTGCTATCATTAAAACTATCATCATTCACTTGAGCTATAAATTAAATATAATATTTCATAATTCATATATGAATAAAATATTTAAGTATTAAATATTATTAAATTACCTTTTGAAATACTTCTTTTACACTTATTTTGATTATTAGATGGAGAACTTGATTCAGTATCATTTGATGAACTTGGAATATTGTCTTGAGAGGTAGTTGCCTCTGATGATATTGTAGAATTAAAAATAGAAAATGATGTATCTAACTGAGAATTTTTATTCTCATTTTCTTCAAATATATTTTTTTTATTAACAATATCACATTCATTATCAACCAACGGTTCAACAAGTTCTTGTATTAATTCATCTGCTTTGTTGTTGGATGTAGACAATTCAATATCATCAACTTCTTTATACACCTTATGATAACTTTTAGAATCCATTTTTTAATATCATCAATCTATAATTTTCTATATAATAAATATTTCACTTGTACTTTTCATCTATCAATATTTATATTACAATTTGACTTTATCTGTAATGTAAATTTATATGAATATTATGAATTTTTATATGAATATATATGTGATGATTATAATTTGTCATATATATAACAAATAATTAAAAACATAAAAATATAATAAATTAAAAATATAAAATAAACTTTTTCTGTATTTTGTAAAATATGATTTTAAAAAATTATATAAAAATATATATAAAAATTAATTTATTTTTAAATTGACAACAACCTTTATAAAATTTCAAAATTTCAAAATATTCAACAATAATATATACAAATAATAAATTTATACAAAAAA